AAAAAAAAAAAAAAAAAAAAAAAAAAAAAAAAAAAAAACCTGAAGAGATGTCCATAATGTCCACCTACTTATTCGTATCACAATGGTACTCCATGTTGAACTTAGAAAGTCATTCCGACCTCCCGTTGCTTTCCTTCGACACAACAAACACCCGGAGAGACTCATCTGGAGTTCATATCCCATACATTGTCTCTATTTATGAATTTCCCCCATAATCGAATTTAACCATGCCCATTGAATGCATTTTCACACTCGGCACGCATTGAAATTGAGGAAGAGCCGTTCTAGACCTCAATCAGCGCGTGACTTGGGAAAATGGAGTTGAGTCATTTTTGCTGGTATATATTGCATTACGCGATCAGTCACACACACGCACGCACAAAATAAATTCAAAGAGAATTAGAATTTAGAGAGAAAAAAATCACGCACCGCACGGAGAAAAATATTCAATAAAAATTACGTATCTTTTCCGGGATTCCGGAGCGAAATGTGGCTGTAGGAAATTTTACGGAGCTGTCGCGGAATTTTTCCAGAGCTTCCGTAATTTTCATCTGAATGTCCTGAGAAAACTGGGAGTTCCGTAATTTTTACTGAACATTTCTCTCCGTGCGCCCAGCCGCGATTCGAAAATATAATAATAGTCTAAATTTAAAAACACCATCATTTTTATTGTACATTATTAGAAGATTATTATTTTTAAAAAAGTCAAAATTTTTGTTCTGTTATAGTTTCAGTGAAATTTCGACATTAAAAATTGAAAATTTAATGGAAAATTAGTGGAAACTGCAAATTTCAGTTGAATTATTCAATGAAAATTGATGAAATCGATTAGAAAAATTTCCCGAATGGTCAATTAATTTAAAATTCAACATAATTTGGTCCTGATTGACGTATTTTTGAATGAAAATTGAAGTAAATGGGGGAATTCTTGCTTTCTTTCGCTAAAAAATGTGCAATTTCATTGGATTATCAGTGCATTGAATTTTCACTTTCACTATTCACTATTGAGACAAAAATGACTCAAAGAAATTTTTATCCATCTCTATTTTTATTGCAATCGCAGTGAAATTTCAAAGAATTTAGTTCTTAAAAATTCTAAATTTTATGGAAAACTCAAGAGAAACTGTATATTTAGTTCAATTACTTCATAAAAATCAAAGAGGGAAATTTATGCACATATATTATTGAAATTTTAATCAATTCAAGTAAATTAGAGAATTCTCCTCTTTCCTCTGCCGAAAAATTTACAATTCCATTGAATTTTCAGTGAAATCTGAGATTTAACAATTTCCTATCCCCCCACGTTTCCGTTCAGGCACAGGAGCTGAGATTCCAGCGTCCAGGAACTCGCAGAAGGCCCTTCTACCGGCCAAATCCACCGAGAAGACCCCCCAGTGTCAACCGAAGAAATGTTTTTCCAGGTATGACTCAAACTTTCGTGGTCAATGCTCCCTGAACTGTTAAATTAATTATCCAATGTTGTGCAGTGGAGGCACCACTTCGCTCATCAAAGAGACCAAACCGCAGGCCCCAGGAAGTCAAGGAGGCTAGACAGCCCACTGAAAATGATTGCACATTTTTCTCGAAAACAGTCTGTCTGGAGACTGTTAATTATCCACAGTGAGTGTTCCATTTACCCCAGAAAAATCAATGAATTCGCTGTTCAATTCTCAATAAATTTAAAAATCATTTATTAATAATGATCTATTAATTATTAATTTATCAATAATAATATTAATGATGAATAATTATCATTATTTTTAAAAAATAATAATTATAAATAATAATAATTATAATATTATAATATTATTGTTATTTATTATTAATAAATCATTAGTATTAATCATAATGATATAATTATAATTATAATATAATTATATTATTATTATTATTATATTATTATTATTATTATATATTATTATTATATCATAATTATTATATTATTATATTATATTATTATTATCATTATGATTAATAATAATAATTTATTAATAATAAATAATAGGATTAATAATTTAAATTGATTAATAAATTAAATTTATTAACAAATTTGTGAATTTATAAATTCACAGCGAAGCAATAATGAGAAGCCTCCGAGGAAATAAGGAAATGGCATCGTCATTACTAACAGATTACAGCCCCCAGGATGGGGATAACGACTATCTAAAGGCCTCGCCATTAGAGAGTCACTTTGACAATAGATTCGAGAATAAATATGAGAACAACGAGATTAAAAGGTAGAGTAATAGAAGAAAACCTTGAAAAATGTGAATTAATACAAATGCAGTTGGTGGAAAGTAGAAAGCAAGTTATTGAAGATGGAAAATTTCTCCTGCGCCTGCCTTATTTTTTCCCAGTCTCAATGGATTTTTTAATTACCGGACTTGTTCACTATTGTCCTGGTGGATAATTATATTTTATTTCGGTATGAACGATCATTGTAACTGAAACGTGGTTTATCGTGAGTCACATCATCGGTTGTGTTCGGACGGTCAGGCTTTCTAATTATTCAGACCAGAATCACAAGAAAAGCCGATAGATAAAACGATCTTTCGAAAAACCATTGGCAAACATTGCGAAAGATATTGACTAATCAGTGAATCACGTAATGTGGATTTTTCAAATTCAGTGGCTACTATTTATTGCTACAATCTGCTGATTTTTTTTCCTCATATTTTGCGTCAATCCTTTAGTTTAGAGCTGTGCAATTCCATTGCATTTCATTTTTTCCTAATCTGAACTATTCGGGCTGTATTTTTTCGAAGAATTTGAGTTGTATCTTTCGAAGAGTAAATAAATAAAACTTTGTTTTTTGGCAAGGTTTCACTCATTTTTCTAAATAAACAATAAACAATCATTGTTTATAAATAAATAAATAATTTAAATTCGGCATATGAATAAATTTGTTACAATTCCGAACAAATGATGCTCATGAATTACTTGAAATTTAAACTCTGAAATTGAGGGTCATAAGGGCCATGAGGATCAGAATAAGGGTTGTGAGGGTCGGAATAACGGTCACAAGGGTCAAAACAAGAGTCATGAAAGTCAATATAAGGTTTACAAGGGTCGATTAAGGGTTATGTGAGTCAGATTAAGGGTCACAAGGGTTTCTTAAGGGCCAAATAAGGGTAAGAAGGGTTATAGTGAGGGTCCAAATAAGGGACATGGGGGTCAAAAACTAAGAGTCAGAAACTAAGGATTACCAGAGCTAAAATAAGGGTCACGAGGATGAGATTAAGGGCCCTCGTGATCCTTTAAGGGCCACAAGGGTCGGATTAAGGGTCACAAGGGTCAGATTAAGGATTATGCGGCCTCAAGGGTCGGATTAAGGGCCTAGATAAGGGTCACAAGGGTCAGATTAAGGATGACAGGGGACAAAATAAGGATTATAAGGGTTATATAAGGGTTCTGTGGGTTAGATTACGGGTCACAAGGGTCGAATTAAGGATTATGTGGCCTCAAGGGTCGGATTAAGGGCCTAGATAAGGGTCACAAGGGTCAAATTAAGGATTATGTGGCCTCACGGGTCGGATTAAAGGCCTAAATAAGAGTCACAAGGGTCAGCTTAAGGGTCACAAGGGCCGGAATAAGGATTATAAGGGTCACATGTAAGTAATAAATAATAAAATTCACTGTAAAATGCCCGGAAACATGGGGTCAAAAGTTGCTCAAACGAAAGCACTTCCGGGATTAAAAAACCGCCCAAGTACTCGACTATCCTCAACGCTCCATTTATTCTAAAAAATAATCCCTCGCTTTAATTAACCAGACGATCAGATCACTCATCGCCATTCGACAACGTTGAAGAGGGTTTCACATGTCCGTCCCAAGTGATGTATGCACGTCCTCAATTAGCCAGGGCTGTTTCCGGTGTTTGGAAATACATAGTAAACACCGCTGAGCACACGCAAACATTGCGCCTCGAGAAATGCTCGTGAGTAATACAATCTCACTGCTACGAAAGTACTCTACCGGTTTTTTTTTTTCACCTGGAACGAATTGAGTCATGGACAAATTTCAATTCACCTCCCAGCGTTTAGTGTAACAACTGAACCGTTAAATAGAATTCCCCTCAATCGATATTGCTCTATAAACTTTCAGATCACCAAAATCGAGTTGTTCATTCATATCCGAGAACTATCGTTCCTCCTGCATGCAGGTGTACAATTACCACAGATTGCTGACATGGGACAGTAGTTTGGGCCTCCACATGGACATATTCAAGATCCCCTCGTGCTGCAGCTGTCATGTCCAGGGTTATGCCGAGCTTTATCCGCCGATTCAAAAGGACCCGCGACCCGCGCCCGAGGAGAAATTCCCAGGGGCGGACTTTGCCACTGAACAGGGCGAGGATGATGCTTTCAAACGTCCCACTAGCTACCTCACCAAATTCAAACCATCTAATCTCGATAACAATTTCGGTATTAACCCTGATATTAACACTGACTTGCCCCCGTACCTGGAGTATCCACCGGCTTTCAAAGATAAATTTCTAGTGTCGTCGGGGGGTACTAAACACATCGCCGACGCTGGCAGCTCACATCGTCCTAGCTTCACTCTGCCTGGCAGACCCAACAGACCAAAAAAACCCAACTCCTCGGCTAATGCTAGACCCTATGACAAGCTTCCGCAACAGCATGCGCCTAACACGAGGGCTCCGGGGTACAAGGGACCGGTCGTCAAGGGGATGAAGAGGCCGGGCAGACCTGTCAGACCGTACAGGAGGGACTCCACTGGGGATGAGGAGGAGACGTCCCCGGCTGCCATCCAGGAGGGGTAAAATTTTTCAACTGAAATTTAACGTTTTCACTGTTTTTCCCATAAAATTGTAATAAGACTACAGTGGACTTCCCTTAGCTCTTGCTATCCGTAGCTCGGGGGGCGTGTCCTAGCGGCGGGGAATGTGTCCCCCACCGCACTAGTGACGTCATGCACGAAAGGGGAAGCGTTGTGTGTCGTCGGCCGGTATGTTACAGCGTTCTCTCTCAGATAATGACGTTGTCTCTCTCCCGTAAGCACGTCCCTGCGCATGTGGAGGTGGTAATTCCCTAGCTCGAGTTCTTGGAATCAGACCCCCCGAACCCTATGAGCTAGGGGAAGTCCACTGTATAATTTTCTCGGCGTTTATGACCCTTAAACCCGATTCCCAGTGGTTGCTCTCCATCGTTTTTCATGTGATCACCTCTTGTGACGGATATGTCAACAGATTTGATCAACAAAACGACCAGGAAACTGACGCCTCAACAAGACTCCACAACGGTGGCTTCGACGACGAGTACCAAGAGCCCAACAGACGAGTGAATTACAACTACCACCCAATTATCGACTTCTTCAAGCCGGAAGCCTCGAGGCTCCAAGCCCCAGAGGCCCTCTCCACCCAGCCAGCGACAGCCGAGTCAAATGCAAATGGAAACTCCTGGAAGCCCATGATCTCCCCGTAAATCCAATCGACGTCAATCCTAGAGTACCTGAATATTTTCACTCGTTAATTATTAATAATCGTTCATCGCCAGTGTTAAGTAATTAATAGGATAAGAGGAGGCAGTTACGGAATTATTTAATTTATTCGACGAAGAGGAAAGGCGGAAATTGACTCGCGATATTATTATCCACTGTTGTTCCTGTATTTAATTCTCAAACTTATGAGAACCTTTTTCTATCTATGAATAAAAAAAATTGAAAAGAATACAGATGTTTCCGCATTGATCTTCTAATCGTGATCCTGTAAATCGCCAACTTCCATAGGACCCACATATGACCCCCATGATCCTTATTCTGAACCTCACAACCCTTATTTGGACCCTTACTGCGATCCTTGTGACCCTCGTTCTTATATCTTAACATAATTCTTGTGACCCTTATTTAGACCCTTGATCACGGACCCTTGTGGCCCTTAATATGACCCTCATGACCCTTAATATAACCCTTGTGACCCTTACTCTGACCTTCATGAACCTTATTCTGACCCTCGCGACCCTTATCCTGGCCCTTGTGACTCTTATTTTCACCTTCATGAGCTTTAATTTTGGAGTCTTAATTTCGAATACCAAATTTTCATCACCAAAAGTCGATTTGGATTTTTATAATATAGAGGTAATCCACTAATTACATTTATTCCGACCCTCGTAAACCTTATTCTGACCCTCATGACCCTTAATCTCCTCTTGTGACCCTCATTCTGACCCTCACGACCCTTAATTTTGGAATCTTAATTTCGACTACCAAATTTTCATCACCAAAAGTCGATTCGGATTTTCATAATACAAAAAAATAACCCACTAATTACATTTATCCCAGTGAAAGAGAAAAATAATGAAAACCAATAATCAGATTCTCGATAAACTTTATGAACCATAACAAAGGCATTGAAACAATTTTCTCCAGTAGTTTATACCAAAGTAATCCAATGATCTCTCTACCTTCTTAGGCCATTGCTTCTATCCTTCTCCTTGTCTCCACCGAAGAAAATATAAATTAGACTGCGGTAGTCGCGCGGTGAACAGTCCGTAACAGTTGTCCGATCCAAGATGATTAGAAACCACAAACGTTTTCGCCTTATAACGGAACAGGCCCCACGGTGAAAAGATCACCAGTTACTTTGTGATAGTCATCCGAGTAACATGTTTGTTTCAATTAACTGAACACCGAGATAAAAAGTTTAACGATATTTGTTGATTAAAATGTTGTGACTCTACTAGTGCAAAATGATTACAAGTTACTTGTTGTTTTTTCTTGTTTTCCACCACGGAGTGTTTTCAATCCATTCTGGAAAGGCTGTATCCGACGATTTGGATTCCAATGAGAGAGACGAAGTGAGGAATGCTCCGCCGGACCACGAAATCCCGTATTCAGAGCATGAAGATCCCCCGGAACCGGCGACTAGGCCGAAATACGAGGCACCAGGTCAGTGGGCTAGACCTTCAGCGGACAAGAACGTTCCTCTTGAATTTGTACCCAGTACTACGTACGCACAGATCAGAGGAACTCACACTGTCAAACGTGCTCCGAGACATCATGCCTTGCTGGACGCCTCCACTGATGAGGAAAGAGAGAATGCAGGGCGATTGAAGGAAGTTGTGACCAATAAAAAGGTGAATACCATTTACACTGAAGAGGGATATGAAGATGCCGCTTACGATCACGCTGGACACCAGAGAGACGCCGATTTCCAAGAGGGGTACGACAAGAACCTCGACAAAGAGGGAAAATCCCGTGGCTTGGCTGCATCCCAGTCTTCCTCGGAGACAGAAGAAAGCTACGAGGAAGACGAAGCTTACGCCGAAGCGGCGTCCGGACGAGACGAAAAGATCCTAAAGCCAAAGAAGCTGAAAACCAAGAAGTACGACCCCAAGGACGCGTTCAGAAAGGTGTGGGCTGAAGCTGGAGTGAATCCCGTGGTTCTTGTCAAGGAAAAAGGTTCGAAGCTGGAGAAAGACGTGGAGCGGGAGGCGGAAGCAGCAGCTCTCCGCGCTGAGACAGAAGTTCCGGAGAATTTGAAAGACTTAACCAGCGATTCCGGAAGTTCTGAGGATGACGTTGAGACTTCTACACCGCAATTGAAAAGAACATTCATCGGAGATTCGAAGGAGATCTCCGGAGAACGTGAGAATATATCGAAGGACTCGGTGGGCCCTTCCACCCGTCAGCCCGTCGCCCAAGCACTCAGGAGGTACGAGGATTCTCTGGAAACTTATCCCACTTATCGCGATACTATGCCCAAAGTCTACCCAACTTATCAAGAGGTGATGGCCACCACGACGATCCACCCCACGACTATCAATCACGGAAAGGTATTCTGGGATTACTACAAGACGCAAAAGCCCGCGGGACGTCCATCGAAACCAGCGAGTACTGAATATTCCAGTAAGTTGGAGACATCCCCAGAAGACCAAACAACCGAGAATTCGTCATCATCCGAAGAGAGAGCATACAGAAAGAAAAGCGGTGGGTCAGCAGAGTACTCCATGGAGACCGTCGAGAGCAGTGAAAGCAGACCGACCAATGCCACCAGATTAGCGCCCACGGACACCCGATACTCCACAGTTACATCCCCGGGGGTCATCCAAGCGATATTAAAGTCTCCGCAGGTGATGAGAGCAATGAGAACCCCGAGATTAAACTCCGGAGAGGTGGTTACGACGGCCGCGAGGAGAACGCGAGACGATCCGACCACCAAGAGACCTATTTACACAGTTATAATCAGAGCCCCGGCGAAGCAGTGTGACGAGGACTCCGACGAGTCCAAATTACAAGAGTCGTTATCAAAGTACGAGTTGCTAAAGCACTTGACTAACAGCGTCAATCCGCGGTCCTTGAATAATGAAGCTATGAGCAGTACCAGTGTGATAAAGCCACCAGCTGTTCCGCCATTTGGCCAGGTCACCTATGCCGATTACCTTCGCAATGTGTACGGCCACCCAGATGTAAGCGAAACGCGAGAAAGCAGTTCAGCAGAAGGAAGCCGTCAGGTCTCGCTGGAGGATCAGCTGCCAATCCAGCCACATCGTTATCAACCTTATCGTTATCAAACTCCCCCTCAGAAAAATCGTATTCTACCTTTCTTCTCCTGGCTGGCGCAGCTGAATCCAGTGGGAAAATTGATCCCACCTAACAGGATGCTGCCGCCGTCACCGATGAGTCGCAGTCGATATGCCGAGTACGCGGGGAGAAGGATTGGTGTCCAATTACCGCAAAAAGATTCACGGTTTAATGTCTCGCCGTATTACAGCCCAGCGTTCCAGGTCACTGGAGGCGTTGTAAGAAGATTCAGACGGCAATCGCTCGGAGATAATGACAAAGTTTTTACCGATCGGAGGAACGAGTTAACGGAGCTGATGGGCGAGGGTGTAACTGTGAAATCTCGCGGTTTGAGGGAAAAAAGAAGCGATAATGATCTGTTGAATGATGCACCAATTGTTGTCGAGGCTGTTGTTGACAGAGAAATCAAGGCTCGATTTCCTGATGAAAGTGACGTCGACAGCAGTTCCGAGGATTTAGAAAATGAAGGTGAGGGGAAAGTAGAAATTGACGTTCCGGAGTTTGATTTTTCAACTGCTATCCAAGATACTGAAAATCCCGGACAGTTTAACACGGAAATTGAGACTAAAAACAGCACCGAAAGCAGCGAAAAATATCCTTTCTATAAGGACGATCAGATCTCAAGTAATTCAGCATTGAAGTACGTGATAAATCCTCAACAAATGCCAAGAAAAACCCTCGGGGGAATGGAGTTTTACAATTCTCGTGATCAATATCTAGACTGTGACGACGTCAATCCTGATTTATCGGAGGTGCTCCCTGAGGAGGAGGAGCCGAAGTCTGATCGAGGGCCAGAAGAAAACCTTCCACGGCTCAACGGTTTGGATGACAGATTGTCTTGCTTCAAGGCTAAATACTTCGATAGAAATCCTCTGGACAACCCCCTGTTCATGGAGAGGAGAATTGACACGCCGCAAATGCCAGTCGAATTCAATCTCCAACAATTTAAGAGCCGCTTGTCTGATTTGTCCAGCGAGCCAGAAGCTTTGGTGTACCGCAGGGTCTCGAGAAAACCTGAGGCGATGGATCAACACTCCAGCAACAGCAGGAGACATCAAGTTGTCAACCAAACAAAGTCCAAATCCAATCATAATCCAGCACCGAATCACAGAAGGACAAAGAAACGTCATCGAGCAAGGAATCCAATCAGGCCGATTGATCCTGTGAACTCTCCCTACGAGAAGGAAGTCTATGAAGCGGTGATGGGTACAATAAAAAATCAAGCTGTTCATAAGTTGAGAAAATCGAAGGAAAAATCAACAGGTCATCCTCACCGTCGCGGAAAGAAGAGTCAAATCCAGGTGAAGACTAAAGGACAGAACCTGAAAATTGAGTATCGCAGACCTGTCCGTCCTCCCAACTACAAAATCCATCCGTATAGAACTGATAAGGTGACTTATCGAAGGCGACCGAGAGTGCTGTCGCATTCAGGATCGAGGCGCATCGGGTATTACAAGACTGTGAGGCTCCACAGGCGCAGTATTAATTCTGATCAAGACCTTCAGGGATCGGAATCCCAGAATGCACTGGAAAATTGGACACCGACTAGAATAAATAGTGCTTGGGCAGCCACCACATCCGTTAATACAGCGAGGCCATCTGATACAGCTACTCCGTCTACTCCGAAAACTGTCTGGACGATCAGAGACCTCGTACGATTTTCCAAGCCCCGTCAGACTGACAGATATGGCAACTTCAGACCTGGTGCAACAACGGTGGATCCTAGAAGGAAAGAACCTCGATACAGCGATCCGACAGAAGTGCCTGACGAATCCCTTCGTGTAACTGCTAATCCTGAACGAGCTGATTCCACTGATCCTAATGGTCCTGAAGGAGAAAACGGAGACTTGACAACAGCTAATTATCAAGTGCGTGAAGAAGTCGAGGAAGAGTTGACGGAAGCCCCGGAGGTTCACAGACTCAAAGAGTATTTGGATTCCGACCTCCCAGGGTACAACAAGGGATCAGGAGAGGTTCCAACAACTCAATATGCGGTGGAGAGTTCTGAGGAGGAATCTGGAGAGGAAGACAACCAGGAAGAGAGCCGAGGTGAGCAGGTGGAGAAGCCTTCGGAATCGTCCGTCGAAGGTTCCTCCGAGAGACTCGAAGCAGATAAGGAAGCGTCCCAGGAATCTTACTCAGATGAAGAAAAAAATGCGGCGAGAATGTCCGATGATGAAGAGGACTTCGAGAGATTCAGTGATCGTCCCGCCTCACCAGCGGAGAATCATTACGATCCCAGGTACGCTGATTTGGGACCGAGGATAAATAAGCCAGCGTTCTATCATCCTCCCTTCGACCCTCCGAGGTACGAAAGACACAGAGGGAAGAATTACGAGTCCCTCGAGGAGGAGAAGCCCAAGAACAAACCATCGAGATCGTCGATCTACGTTTTCCCCTGGGATGAAGATCAAGGAGAGGCCGCTAAGGAATCAAAACGGAAGGACCAGCAGTTTGGACACTACGAGTTCCCTTGGGACAGGAGGGAGAGACTAGCTCGTGAGCAGGAGAAGAGCAAGATCAAGGAGAATGACTATTACCATCGGTATTGGAACGACGATGATGACCAGAGCTCTTCCGAAACGGGCTTCAACTTCGAAGTGACTCATCCTTGGAGCAAGTGGACCAGTCCCCACAGGAGTGACTTCGCGAGACGTTTCTGGTCGTCTGAAATTTTCAATACTGGTGAAGCAAAACCTGCGAAATTCAGCAGCAGATACAGCAAGAGCTCTGAAGCCCCTGTGGCTGACAAAGAGATTCCAAAAAGAGTAAAAGTCTTCATGAAAAATCAAGTTGACGGCTCTTCAACGTCGAAGTACGTTCCAACGACTACGGTAACCCCTCAAATCCCACCGACGTCAGTAACTGCTGTTCCGCGGAGGGAACCAACTACTCCGATAATCGGAGCTACCACCGCAGTGAAGATACCGAGATACACTATCAGACCAAGACCGTTCAGTCTGACTCAGAGCAGAGCAACTCGGAATCGTGAAGACCGAGAGGAGATAACTTCTGAGCCGAATACTCCCAGAAAGAGGATCCTGTCAACTACTCCAAGATTGTCAACCCCGAAGAGCCGACGGCGATCGCGCACGAGGACGACGCACTTGCGACCGTCCAATCATCAGCTTCTAGACTTCAAATCTGAAGAGAGCACGACAGTCCCTGCGAAGCGAACCGTCGAACACCGATCGCGAGTGTCGACAGAGAAGATAATCACAAAGACATCGTTCCCGAAGTCAAGCCCGAAGGAACGCAAGCATTTCTCATCCAACGAAGATGATAGACTTCAGAAGAGCTCCAGAGTCCAGAAGGTCTCGATCGTAACGAAGAAAACACCGGATCACATCTACAGAACCGAGAAGATCGATAAGAACGGGGTGAAAGGAACGTTCATCAGCATCATCCCGAACAACAGCACTGATGAACTATCGGATATGGAGGAGGACAGCTCAATGAGCAGCTCCAGCATGGAGGACCCCACCCACGACGTAGACTCTGACCTCGAGCGAATGGATCCCCAAGTCCTCGAAGACGGAAATATACCAGAAGTAAGTGTTCTAAGACCAAACAGGGCGAGCCATTTGAGCCATCACGGTACACGAAAGGTAGTTTCCACAGTCTCCTGGGTGACGGAAAACCACGACTATCGATGATAAGTGTAAATATCAATTTCCTACTCGGACCAGATCAGTACACACATCCGCTTGTTTCCAATTTCAATGTAAGTACCTTGTAATCATGATACTGTGTACTCAGGAATTATTGGTTTCAGCACTTTCTAGCGAGCCTGCTGATGCGTGCACCGCCCCCTGAATTGGACTCGATCGAGGGAAGCGGAGAAGTCGAGAATAATCCAGACATTAGGAAGTCTGAAGTTACATATATCAAGGAGCCGGATCAACGGCTGTACTCTTACGTGGAAGACATCAAGTAGAAAGTTCCTTAGAAGTTTTAATCATTGTTATCTCTTGGCAATTTGCTTTTGATATAAAATTAACGTTGATGAGATCATTAATTAATAAACGATTTGATCAATTACCGCCCATTTTTAAGTTCCTTTGATAGGCCATCATGTTTTTCCCTTCACATCGACACAATTTTGTTTCGTCTGATTTTAACATATCCTTTACGACTGGAAGGCCTTCTACCATTTGTCGATTTATCTTTCGTTACGCCCCAGATTTATTCAATGGCGTTGTGGGTGACTATGTAGATATACAGCTTTGTCAACGTGACACTTGCTAACGTAACTGGATTGTGCTGACCAAGTGATGAAATATAAACAATCAATGTATTATTTGAGAGGCCGTTTCGTTTATTATGCTCGAGGCCGAGGGAGCATGAAAAACGCTGGAAAAATAGATAGACTTCATTTACTGTAAGTTTTGTCTTACAAAATGACACCGTAATGAGTCAATAGAATATGGTGGTAATAAGAGCTGTACGACAAAAATAATTAATAATAGTTAACAAAGTAACGTAAGTAAGTACTGTGAGTAGAAAATAGAAATAATGTAACTAAATAAACTCTACCAGAACTCTGAGAGCTTAACAATAACCAGAAACAGAATAACAATAGTTAACATGTATAGTTAACTGACATAGCTGAATGCCGACTGAGAAGGTAAGAGTGCAGTCTAAAAAGAGTGCAGCCTCATTAGGCGGATGTTACAAAAGATCGTATGATATAGGTGACTCTGGCCAACATATTCTAATCTCATAAACTCTAATATTTAAATGCCGATAAACCATTTGGTGAGATTTATCTCTTCAAGCCTCGAAAAATCTAAGTCTTGGCTTCAGCAAGACCTTGAACTGAAAACAATCCTGTGGTGTCAATAATCTGAACTAGGCATCCTCGACCCAATTTTCCGCACACATAAAGCGGTTGAGCGTTGACCGCAGTGCGTGAATCTTCATCGAGCCTTTTTCAAATTCTTGTTATAAAAAATTACGACTATTGTATTCCAAAGGGAGCCTTGATCCAATTCCAGCGGGAGGATTTTCAGAGTAAAAAAGGTATTCAAGTTCTATCGATTGGCTCTAACTAGGCAATAGCAGGGTTTCATAATTATAACTTCCGTGACAATTACCTTTCCATGGAAATCCATTCATCAATGAATAAAGTGGAAAACTTATGCCGATAACAAGGAGACGTATAGTTCTGAGAATAAATCCATCAGTACTTGATCTACATGACCAGCACAATAAAAAGAAGCGGTAAACCTTGGTGGTGAGAGGTAGGACTCTACTCCAAGGTTAAGGTATACCCCGGCAAGTGATACACCTTGTTCATACTGTTACATTAGTCTCATGAACCTGTGACTGATAGTTCAACACGAAAGGAAATTCTCGGTTGCGATTGGACGACATACATGCCACACCGCTTCTATATAATCTTTCATTGGCGACTGTTCACTTGTTTTTACATCTAGTTGTGGTTTACCTTCGTCGCTGGCATGATCTCCCCTAAGGTTGGACTATTCTTGTTCATGCGCGTTTAAAAAAAAGTTGAAAAAATCGGGAAATCAATGCGCACTAGTGATGCCGTCGAGACTAGTCGAGAATTATTTTTAAGAGATCATCACGATCTGGAAAAACATCGAAAGTTTTGGAATCGTCGCAATCTCGAAAGACATTGGATCGGTGCATCTCGTCACAATTCCGGGAGGATTTATCTTGCCTGGATCTCCAGATTTTCGGTTTTTCAAGTTAACGAGATGAGACGAGACCGATATCGAGACAAACATTTGAAAAACAGAAAATACTGCAACTCAGACGTGATGGATTCTTCCAAGTTCGTGACGAGATGCACCGATACGGTGTCTCTCGGGACTACGATGATTCCTAAAGTCTCGATGTTTTATTAGACCGTGATGATCTTTCCAAAATAATTCTCGTCTAGTCTCGACGGCATCACTAATTCGCACACCTCTGGTAATTTCTTCTGGTAATCAAATTGTGTTTCAGTTCATTACAATTTTTTGTGTCGGGGCGTTAATTGCGTGTGTCAGGGCTGATAGCGCAGGGGTAGTGGAGATGCCCGACGGTTTAGCATATGGTAAGTAATTTCCAGCGATTACTTTAACTGCTAGCCCCCGGGGGTTACATACCTAAGCATCCAAAGACAATTAATCCCAGGACATTCCATCACAGTGCCAATAATTCCCAATGGTTCCCAATGGGTCTTCACCTTTTTTACCAAGTTGGGACTAGGTTGCCAGTTTGTGAATTTAAACTCTTAGGTACACCTCATATAATAATATGAATGATCAGGTAGATGAACGAGACCTCCCTTCTTCTCCACCTTCGCGAGTGGAAATTCTGTTCAGGTCTCGATCAGAAACTGATCAAGTCCGATCCGAAATTCTGATCAGGCATGTTACGCCTCTGCCTTATGTTTTTCCACTAGGGTTTCTCCGGCTTCCATGATTAGGCATTAATTAAACTTAATTTTTTTGAGAAAAAATTAGTAACTTTCTAGCCGGGAATCGAACCCGGGANCCCTCATTAGGCATTAATTAAATTTAATTTTTTTGAGAGAAAAAATTAGTAACTTCCTAGCCGGGAATCGAACCCGGGACCTCCCAATGTCGCGTCGGGTGCTCTTACCATCTGAGCTACCAGGACACTTACGAATTTCACTCTCAAATTGACTCATACCCGAGTGGAAATTCTGTTCAGGTCTCGATCAGAAACTGATCAAGTCCGATCCGAAATTCTGATCAGGCATGTTACGCCTCTGCCTTACGTTTTTCCACTAGGGTTCCTTCCAAAGGCAATTAATTGTTTTGGAACTAATTTAAATATAAGTACTTCTATAAATTCACGAGCACGGTAAGGCAATTACATTTCACGCCTTCCCAGCTCTTGGGGTTACCCAGGATCCACAACGTTGTTGGTAAGGCATCGATCATCAGTAAGTTACCTCCCACAGCTGTCGACTGCTGGCAGTAGCTGCCAGAGGGTACCACCAACCGCTTCCACCTCCACTCTTTTTGCTCCTTCCTTTCACTTTCTGAAACTGCCTGAAACATCGTATTAACCGAATGCACGCAGTGGATGGAAAATTTATTCGAAAACATGTTTGGAAGATCATCAGCATCTCTAAATTTCTATATACCGAAAAAAAATTCGTGACATTTAGCTAGATCCTTCGCAGCCTCGATATTTTATCCTCACATTGCGTTTTTTTTTACAAACAGGTGGAATTCCCTATGGCAGTGTATCCGGGATGCTGGCAAAATATCAGAAACCCGTGGCGGCTAGAAATTATTACCAAGAGTTGAATCAATATCCTTACCCACAGAGACCGCAACCTCAGGCATCATTGCCCATCATCGTAACGCCTAATTTCCGCGCCGCGGGACTTGCTGCGAGAAGCACTGGACCCGTGCAAATTTACAAGTTGCCGGGTGTTATCGCACCCGGCGTCGTTGGTACATTCGTACAGATTGGCTATTAATTATGTGATTTCTATTAACTGTATTTGAGACTAGTTTCAGGAGCAATCAGTGCCGCTCTCATACCCTTTATTATCTCTGGGCAAACGACGCGAATCATTGAGTTCAAGTTGAATTGCGCTGAGAAAAAACTTCAGGAAAAATGGTGACCGGATTTTTTTCCCCCGGAAAAATTTCCTCGTCTTCAATATTCCCCCGGAATTATTTTCCTGGAATATTTTCCCCTGAAAATCGCCGGCAAAAATGAAAAATAAACATATTATCATTTTTAATTTTGTTGTTAATGTTGGAAAGTATTCTCGTTACTCCTCCAAGTTCATGATTGGTTGTTTGGAAATATGTTTTGGTAGTGTGAGATGATGTTTCGTTGAATGTTGTCATTTTTTTTTTATGAATCTGCGACTTTGTTGGACGAGAATGCTTGTTAGTGAAGATTCATTGATTATTGGGGCAACAGATTGATTCGAATTATTTGCGGGAATTGGTTCGAAAATGTTGACAATTAATTTATTGCAGTAAGGTAATTTATTTATTGTTGATCTATTGAAAAAGTTGAATTCTCACCTGGCGTGTCTTCGAAGATTGAAGGATGTAGTAAATAAAAATGACGTTGGTAATGTGTGTTTGTGTAATTGTTTTTTACATTCGTAAGGGAAAATAATTCCGGGAATTTTTTCTGGGGGAATTTTCTCCAGGAAATTTCCTTTTTTTCCCTTAATTCAATTTTTTCTCGATGTAAAACTCTATTATCAATCCCAATATTTATTCTGCATTTTCTTTTACCAATAAAGTCTCTGCATTACCATATTCTGACTATCGAATCCCCGAAATAAGTTATTTTTAAATTCCTCACCAGCAACTTCCCAACAATTTATAGGCATTCCGATGCTGCATAAACATGATTTTTATGTTTTTATAAAACGGATTACGTAAGACTCCACTAAAAAGCCATTAATAGGCTTTCAAAACAACAGGTGATTTTTGTATTAAAATATCCACTATTCGCAAAACCCCAAGACGTCATCTCTAAATACGAGAGTTGCGCATTATTTCATGAAAATCAAATGAAATATTATTCCAAATGTTTCAGTACGATGAAATACTATTTGAAATATATATTTCAAGTTGACTATCTTGGTCGATCAAATACTATTTATTTCTGTCTTTTAGAAATTGAAAAAAAATAATTATTTGATATTTCATTTCAACGGAACAGAAAATGAAATAGTATTTACCATTTTATTTCACTATTTCACTATTTGGTTTCACATGAAATAGTTTTTTGCCTACGAATATTTCTCTTTCCTATCCCTTATCACCTTCATTGATTTCTCGCGGTCAGATAATCTCAGAACTGGGCACTATTTTATGAAAATCAAATATAAATACTATTCCAAATAGTTCAGTACGATGAAATACTATTTGAAATATATATTTCAAGTTGACTATCTTGGTCGATCAAATACTATTTATTTATGTCTTTTAGAAATTGAAAAAAAATAGTTATGTGATATTTCATTTCAACGAAACAGAAAATGAAATAGTATTTACCATTTTATTTCACTATTTCACTATTTGGTTTCACATGAAATGTTTTTTTTCCTACGAATATTTCCCTTTCATATCCCTTATCACCTTCATTGATTTCCCACGGTCACATAATCGCAGAACTGGGCACTATTTTATGAAAATCAAATATAAATACTATTTCAAATAGTTCAGTACGATGAAATACTATTTGAAATATATATTTCAAGTTGACTATCTTGGTCGATCAAATACTATTTATTTCTGTCTTTTAGAAATTGAAAAAAAATAATTATTTGATATTTCATTTCAACGGAACAGAAAATGAAATAGTATTTACCATTTTATTTCACTATTTCACTATTTGGTTTCACATGAAATGTTTTTTTTCCTACGAATATTTCCCTTTCATATCCCTTATCACCTTCATTGATTTCCCACGGTCACATAATCGCAGAACTGGGCACTATTTTATGAAAATCAAATATAAATACTATTTCAAATAGTTCAGTACGATGAAATACTATTTGAAATATATATTTCAAGTTGACTATCTTGGTCGATCAAATACTATTTATTTCTGTCTTTTAGAAATTGAAAAAAAATAATTATTTGATATTTCATTTCAACGGAACAGAAAATGAAATAGTATTTACCATTTTATTTCACTATTTCACTATTTGGTTTCACATGAAATGTTTTTTTTCCTACGAATATTTCCCTTTCATATCCCTTATCACGAAGAATAAAAAAATTCAAGAAAATTCGATGAACTATTTCAAATAGTGTGTTCCTCGATCGAATTCTTCAAATACTATTTCAAATTTTCCATGTTTCACCAGTTGACAACAGAAATTATTGTCAAATAGTATTTATTTGAGTCCAACTATTTAATTCCTATTCTATTCGCGATGTTCAGTAACTCCAAAATAGTAATTACTCATAAACATTTAAAATAGTGTTTCGCATAGTATTTTGCGCAGCTCTGGTGAATACCGCCTCGAAATTCACCGGAAAATAATTGTGCACGAAAAAGACAATGCATCCACCAAATGAGAACAACGCCCGGTCATGCATGAACATTTTCCACGTCAAGTAGCATTATTCTGAATAGCTGAGATTGTCGTGAGTGCAGTTGTAAGGATCAGGGAAAGTATATATGACAGGTAGAACGATGTAAACCCCTTAGTCTACCTGAGAAGCACGCACCATGTACCACGCAATACACGTGAGTACTCCATAAGCCTCATAATTTTTCCCGACATTTCGCTGAATAAAATATAAAAAATTGTGCGAACAAGCCCATCACATTTTTAATAAATCGAGTGAAGATTGACAGTCAATCGTCAGTGCACAGCACCGCAGATAATTAATTTCTTATAATTTCACTGGAGAGCCAAAACGTTAATCAACATCATGCAGTATTAGTCATAATTATCCTTCAGCATTGCGAAATACTGATGCAGAGTCACGAGATTGCGAATTTATCATTGCCACCACGATTATTTTCAATTTCACATGTACTCTGCGACTGCAGATCGACATAAATCACGTTATGATTCATATCTTTTTTCAGGTATTGTTATGCATTCTTCTGGGCTCGCACCTTCTGGTGCATGGGGATGCGGCGGACAAGCCAGCACCAGGTGAATGATTGATTACTAATGAAGAAACACGAATTATTGCATAATAATTCGATAAAAAATTTCCAGAGACATTGGAAATTTAATTTTTTCCGCTTCCTCCCCACCGGGTTTTTTGTATTTCTCTAATTTCTTATCGCTGAAATATTGATATCCCTCCGATAGTTGAAGAAAAAAAGTGATTCGAAGTTTACGCCGACATGAAAAAAAAACAATTTTTATTGATCTCTAACATCACTAGATAACTTGAAGAGCATTGAGAGAATGAAGAGTGAAACATCAATGAATAATTTTTAATCTTCGATTAATTTTTTTTCAGATTTTTCATTTTTCATTTTTCATTTTTTTCATTCTATCAGAGTAAAATACTCTGATTAAAATCTGTAATTGTCGAAAAATGAGGGGAGGGTTATGAATCAATTTCCTACAGAACTGAAAAAATTTCTTGAATTCTTCGGAAAATTTCGCTGTTTTCCAGATAACCGTAGATCTTCAAAGATTTTTCTCGACTTATGTGGGAAACTGAAGAATTTTCATGAATTTTGTAGAGCTTAGAATTTATGTGTGAAAATCTGAGAAGCAAGAATTGATCAATTTTGCGTATGATAAATATAAAAAAATTAAAATTTGAGAATTGAAGAATAATTTGTGAGTTAAAAAAATTTTAAAATACTATTTTTTTTCTCATGATCAACAATTAGGCAATTTAGATATGTTTTGATATAAAGATAGACTTCACACATCAAAAAAAGGATGAATATGACACCGAAAATCCATCCGTGCGCCATTTTAATTAAATTCCTGTACCTCTGCCGTTCTCAGGAGGAGACCTATTGAGTAATATAGCCGCCCGCGTCATTCCTTCGGCCTTGGTAAAAGGCTTCGAGGGAGCGAGGCCCATCCGCACCGCCATCAGCGAGACGATCGGGGCCTCCAGTGTTCCCGCCACCACAACAGCCAAGCCAAAACCCCGAACAACATTGAAACCAAAGACGAGATCGTCAACAGGCACAACGCGCAAGCCCAGAACAACAGAGACACCGCTAACCGCTGACAAACTGAAGTTCCGGCCTGAACAGAGGCCTGAGTATTCGGGCCCGGACTCAGCGAGAGCTGCTCAGAACCAATTCCCCTTTGACTACAGAAACAACTTCGGCTTGAATGGAGGCGGTTTTCAGAGCAACGGCCGACAGTTCAATCCTGGATCTCCGCAGGGCTTCAACCCCGGTTTTTTCGGGGATAGAAATCCCTTCAATCAGGGCTCAGGCGCGTTCAGGCCCTTCGACTCCCCCGTCGACCCGTCCGGGGCCCGAGGGAGCGAGAATGCCATTCAGGGGAGCGACGGGAGAGCCCCCGGCGCTGATTCAGGCTTCAACGACGGGACCAACAGGCCATTCGGGAGTCCCGGAGACTTCGACAGGTTCCGAGACTTCGGGAGATTCGGCTACGACGACAGGTTTTCAGGGCGATTCCCAGGGCAGTTCAGCCCTGGATTCCGACAGGACGATCGCTCTCGCTTCGAGGGCTACCCCGGACAGCAGAACAGCCAAGAGGTGAATGGCAACTATCGCCAGGACCCGAGGTTCAGCTATCCCAACGCCCTGAACGACCAGCGACTGTCGCAGTTCTCGGGATCGTTCCCGTTTCAGGGATACGCCCCCAACAATTTCGATTTCCAGCCGAATCAGAGGTTCCAGAATCCCTTCGGCGATAATTACCGAGGGGTCCAGGGACCCTCAAATTTCCCCCTGTTCTACCCGTCAGGACAATCAGGAGGCTCAGGAGGCCCAGGGACATCGAGACCGAACAACTCCAGCAATGGAAATGCCTCAGGACCCCTCACGTCTGCATCTAAGAACTCCGAAAAACTGCAGACCCCCTCGGGAGACAAAAAAAATAGCGATTACATACTGACAGAGGCACCCAGCACGTCCTTCCAGGACCAGAAATTATTCTATCCACAGCTCGACGACTACTCCGACCTTCGGTTCCGCCCTGATGGCTTCCTAATAAATTCTAACTTGGCCGCTAAACGGGGAGTCAGCGGCAAAGCCTGAAACCCACTTAACATTTATATAATTCGGTCTATTGTACTGTCACTGTATATACGTGGGACTTTATAAAGAATTAATAAATTGAAGTAATTATATTTTATCCATCCTCCAATCTAATACGTAATGATCTATAAATAATGGTGTTCTGTAATTACATCACATTTTTAATGTTCATGGTAAACTTTTCACCTGAGGCCAAAAATTATGAATAAATAATTATTGAAATGTAGTCTCTGTGCTGTTATTATTGATGGAGATAATCCGTGAAATTGTGAGGAGATATTTCAACGAAAATTGAGACGTCAATGTCCATCGGGGTAGCACACTTTTTAGTTGGGAAATTGCTAATCGCCGAGGGATTGTTGCAAAATACGTCAGCTGGCCAGCCATTACGTTCTCTTCTGATTCTTATGTTTATCAATTAAATTGGCGATTGCTAACGGCCACTTTGGATTTGAAATCTCGCGTGCCTATTGTTTTTCCTAGATGTTCAGTGAGTGGACACAGGGGCATTTGGTCAATTATCGTGTGTGATTTACATCGCTGGGAAGGTATTTGGATGTCAAGGTGCATCGACAGCGGAGAAATAAGAAATGGAAACCGCTGCGGGGTGGGGGCGGGGGGAGGCAGGGAGGATTGTCCTATTTTGTATTTCATAATGACATTCGGTCGCATAACTCTTATGGCTACCTTAACAATGGACGCTATTATTACCCACTGGATCTGTGCACGTATACGTGATGCGTAAGAGGAAAACACATGTCTTGATGGGCGCGGGTGGGGTCACGGAGGAAGTTGGGTTTAGCATAAAAGGAGTCGATACGACGACAATGGGACACTCCAGTCTGTCGGGTTTGTGGGAATTGAAAAATCAGAGGTGATAAGGGACATCATCGACAGCATGGCTTCCCCAAAGATCGTAAGTTGTTCAGGGTGGCGGGATCGGTGGCTGGGAGATTCAGAGTTGCGGGGAGGTAACGGGGGGGTGATTTTCAGGGATGTGTCACTGATTTTCAGAGATGTGTCACTGATTTTCAGGGATGTGTCACTGATTTTTAGGACTTTATTACTGAGTTTCAGGGATGGGGATGGGAATAATTGGTGATGAGTTACTGAAAATCAGGGACATATTCCTGAAAATAAAAAAATTTTCTCTGGGAAATCATTACAGGGAAACAAAGGTTTTGATTTTCAGGGGTGAGTCACTGATTCTCAGGGCTTGTCACTGATTTTCAGTGATTCGTCCTTCATTTTTTAATTCAGTGGTTTTGGCACTGATTTTCAGGGACTCATCTCTGATTTTTAGGATTTTATTATTGAGTTTCAGGGATCGGGATGGGAATAATTGATGATGAGTTACTGAAAATCAGGGACATATTCCTGAAAATAAAAAAAAATTTTCTCCGTGGGAAATCTTTACAGAGAAAAAAAGGTTTTGATTTTCAGGGGTGAGTCACTGATTTTCAGGGTGTGTCACTGATTTTCAGTGATTCGTCCCTCATTTTTTAATTCAGTGGTTTTGGCACAGGGACTCATCTCTGATTTTTAGGACTATTATTGAGTTTCAGGGATGGGGATCGCTGGTGATCAGGGTTTTTCTGATCAGTGTTTAGGATTAGCAATAATTGGTGATGAGTTACTGAAAATCAGGGACATATTCCTGAAAATAAAAACAAAATTTTCTCTGGAAAATCTTTACAGAGAAAAAAAGGTTTTGATTTTCAGGGGTGAGTCACTGATTCTCAGGGCTTGTCACTGATTTTCAGTGATTCGCCCCTCATTTTTTAATTCAGTGGTTTTGGCACTGATTTTCAGGCACTCATCTCTGATTTTCAGGACTTCATCACTGAGTTTCAGGGATAGACATCGCTGGTGATCAGAGTTTTTCTGATCAGTGTTCAGTATTACCAATAATTGATGATGAGTTTCTGAAAATCGGTGACATATTCCTGAACATTAGAAAAAAGTTTTCTCTGTGAGAATCATTTACAGCACGACCAAGATTCATTGAACCTTTCCGTTTCAAGTTCACTCTATTCGTCCTCTTGGTTGTTATCGGTGCGACTCTTGCACGGCCCGGATACCTCGGTGGGTATGGGTATGGAGGCTATGGGCACGGGCTAGGGTACTACGGCTACAGATATCCATTCTACGGCGGGTATGGGCATGGCTATGGTGGATACTATGGTAAGTAATTACGATTATAAGGAATTTCATTAATTGCAATAATTGAGAAGAAACATTAATAAACTCATTTAAGTGATCTTGAGAATGATCTACACTGTTAGAAATTTTTCGAAATTCCAGGGAAAATATAAAAATTTCAAGTTTTACATAGAATTCAAGGAAATTCATGAGTTTTCAATGAGAGTCAAAATGAGATCAATTTTCAATTTCTTCCCGATTTTTCCAATTTTCACGGAATAATACAGTAGCGAAGCGGTAAATCGGGTTAAGACAATTTTTTTCGAAAATAAGTTTTCACTGTAATCGACTCTTGAGGGTATGATGCATTTGCCGCATAAACGATTTTAGCCTCAAAATATATTTAATGTCTTTTTCAAGATAGATGCATTCTTTTTTGGAAATAATTCGCACTGAAAAGACAATGAATTAATTAATGAAAAACGGTGATTTGTTCTGAATGCTTTTTTACATGCAGGATACCCTTTCTTCGGCCACGGCTACGGATACTACGGTCACTATCTGTGAAACACAGGCTGCACGGCTTTGGACACTACTTCTGACGAGACTCGACGAATGCTGACTCAACCGACATGCACAGATTTTCGATACTTCCTCCTGCTTATGTCTATTTTTTACCTTTTTTATGTTGAAAATTGAATAAATGCAAATCTCCACGACGAGGCGTGAGTTTATTTTACCAGGAATAATAAATTCCTCTCGATCTGAGTCTCTCTCAGTAGAAACTGGGCAGTCAAGGCCGATTGGAATGTTCAAAAATGGAGAGATGTCAAGACAGCCGTCATTTTTTTAATGTCAATCTTTGCAAGGCGATCAAGCGCGATTAGAACATCCGCAGACAATGGAGAGAAGTCACTGGTGATCGAGCGTGACGAGTTGCGTTCCCATCTCCCGAAGGAATTCCACGCACGAAAAAATTTAACAGAAAAACCTATCGAATTCGTTAGAAAATGCCATTGAATTTCTATTAAACTTTCTATTCGTTTTTGGCTGATTCTACTGACATGTTCAATAGAAAACATTCAATAGAAAAAGTCAACAGAATTCGATTTTTCTATATAACTTATTCTTTTCATATATTTTCTATAGAATTTGCTCGACTCAAATTTTCCAAGTTTTTTTCACTCTATTTTTCTTTTCTTCTCATCAAGAAAATCAAACGAATAAACTTGGAAAGTTTGAGCCGAGTAAATTCTATAGAAAATATCTTAATAGAATAAGTTATACAGAAAAATTGAATTCTATTGATTTTTCTATTTTCTATTGAACATTTTAATAGAATCGGCCAGAAAATAACAGAACAGTTCAATAGAAATTCAATTGAGTTTTCTAACGAATTCGATGGGTTTTTCTATTAAATTTTTTCGTCCGTCTACATATGATCGGCCATTACAGTTGGATTTGAAGACACATGTAAGGAGTGGCGGTACATTATTTATTGAGAAACGTCCGCGAATTGCGACATGTATTTTTTTTCTCAAGTGTCTCCTCTTCGCCATCACCTCGCGTAGGACTCAGTGTCTCCAGTGTCGTCTTCAGACCCCTGAATTTGTTGAATTAGAGATAAAGGCCAGATTGTGAATGTGAATTGGTGTTTATGGTGCGAGGGAGATGGAGTAATTACATAATTCCGGGGAATTATGGTGGACGCATCTCGCAAACTAGTTTGCCTTCGACCATTTCAGCTCTTCGTTAGTGCGATAATTCGGGGGATTCGTAATTGTCGATGGGAAATTGAGAATTAATATTTGTTATTGTGTCGTATTTAACGGAAGCTCTACCCTTCGGCGGGCCTTTCTTCGCAAATTACGACCGCATAATGGCCGACCGAAGGTGTTTTCTCCTATTATAATTAAAGTGGTTGAACAGCAATGTAGCAATGGCTCTCGCCCCCTCAATCGAATGTAATGTCGCCTGTCCACAAAATTTCAATTTTTTCTACCAGCGTTGGCGCCTCCACAGAATTAATCGTCAATGAGATTTTTATCACCATAAACCGCAGCACTAGAATTCCCCAGTTGTACAGGGTGTCCCATGGGAATGTGTGAAAACTGTTTGATTATTTTTTTTTACTGGAAACAGGGAAAAAGAGAAGGAATACAGTCCCTGATAGAGGAGAGTTGTCATTTTTATTTCACTGACAAATTTCATGGACAGTTGACTAATAATTTTCAGGCGAGTGACATTAAGGGCGATTTAGAGAAAAAAAATCGAGAAATTGTAGATTTCTCTTTAATATAAAAATCCAAATTGAGTTCTGATGTTGAAAATTTGCTACTCGAAATTAAGGGTCGGAATAAGGGCTACGAGGATCACATTAAGGGTCACAAGGGCCTAAATGAAGGTCATGGGAGTTGAAATAAGGGTCATTGAAGCTCTCTCTATTTTTATTTCACTGTATATTCATTATTGAAACATGTAATTCACCCAACAAAAATAGTAGCTTACAAAAATTGTACGTGACGAGTGCGATTAATAGTAAATGTTTTCGAAATGAGAGCCATCAACACTGGCGCAATAATCCAAACGTTTCCTAAAACCGTGGAATACACGTTCTAACGTTTCCTATGGAATACCGTGATAGTTATTTTCATCACAAGGTCCACAAAGTATGTTCTGACAAATGTGGCTTTGTAGGCCGAGCCGAAGACGAGGCCTATAATCACATTCGTCAGAAAATACTTTTGGACCGTGTGATGAATGCAATTTTTCGTCAGAAGGCCCGTAAACCGCGATCAAACCGAGCGAAGCGAGGTTAGAATCGCGGTTTACCGGGTCTTCTCACGAAAACAGTCATTTTAATGTTGTTTATCAAATTTTCGATTGTTTTTGGCTTGCTTGCATAACAAGAATCTTTTATGTAACCCCACAGGAAATAATCACACGGATTCAAATCTGGTGAATAGGGTGGCCAATCTATTCCCCCTCCACAAAATTTTGGATTACCTTTGGACAGTTGTGTCCGCATATTTCTACCGATGCACGAAATATTACGAAAGTGTGGATGCAAACCAGCTGAAGTTTTAACGCACAGCTTTCACCATTTGCACATGATACATGAACCGCTGAGTTTTAAGTTGGCCAAGTGGTATAAATATCATACCCCCGATAATTCCAGGCCGGGATTATCGTAAAATCCCGCAGCAACGGATACGAATGGACGCCCAGTGGGTTCCTCACCCTCGCCATTAAGTTGAACATACGCAGTATAAAAATTTGCTTGCGAAATCCCATCCTTCGACGAACGAAAATCCTCTCCACCTCTCCGCGCATTTATATAATTATTCACAGACACATGAGTGTCCAACCGAGGCGGCTGGCTTCCTAATTAATCTACTAATGTTTAGGTAACGGCGGGACAAGCGCCTCGAAGAGGTGAGGAATTTTTTTTGTCTTGACGCAATGTTTTGAATTGCATCGGCGACTAAAAGTCATCGACACTTATGACATTCGATTACTCAATGGCTTGGAAAATCGTCGACAACAACTTCCGGAATGGGATATTGAGGTGTTTCGGTTGAAAAGTCAAAATAATAAAAAAAAATGGGAAAATTTATGGGAGAAATTTCTAAGTCTACTGCATCATTGAGAATTTTTGCACATTTTTTTTTAAACTCAGTTTTAAGAAAAAAAATAATGAAATTTGGATGCTTTTGTGAGCCCTCCAGCTATAACCTCCGAGGTTACCCCACTCTCAATTAGGGAAAGTTCCATGGCAGCCAAAAAAATAATGAACTATTGAGGAAAAACTAGTGGCTGATAAATCAAATCATTCTTGAGAACACGTATAAGTTTCAGATTTTTTTCCGATTTCATAAGAAAGTTATTTGAACAAATAATTCGGAAAATTATGAGTTTCGGGGCAATTGCGCTCTCACGCGCAGGCGCGTGATTCGAATGTCGGTGAGCATCATGGGAAAGCTATGGGTTGGACCATGGAACTGAGAGAGAGAAAACACTCGACAGGTTTACCAACTCAAGACGCATTTTAATATTATTTCAATAATTAGAATAACATCCAATAAAAATTATTTGACACCCGCAGGTGATGAGAAAAAAATCAATCAATCTGATGAATAAAATCAATATTCAAAAAATGTTCAAATGCACACTTAGATAGTCACTTGAAAATTGGAAAATTTCGTGCTCAGCGATTGAATCCGGGCTCGAGTACAATGAGACTCCCCTCCCAACCCCCGGTGATCTACACACGAAATACCTCGAGTGATTGGAAATTCGCGAGACGTAAACTTTGTGGGATTGCGACGGTCAGACATATCTTTTATTGATCATCATCCGGGTGACGATAATAATCAAAACCCGAAGATTGTCTCAATGCCATCGGTTTCGGCCAGCCATGGTGCGGACATTCCCAGAAATATTGGAATAAAAAAATCTTAATTACGATGAATTATGCCGTCTGAGACTCAGCATTTCTCTCGACTGGACCATAACACACTCCCGACCCAAATAATGTTATTCAATCTTTAAATTTGTGATACTGGGGAGCGGAGGGAGTGGAGATGACCTTGACGGAAGCGCAGAATTATTCGTGATCTTCACGCACAGAGGAATGGTTTAGTTGAATAAAACGAAAAAAAATATTGTTGAACGAGTGAAAAAATTTTGATGAAAAAAAAGTTTCATTTGCCTCAAATCCGTCGTCTCTCCTGGTGCACTCAAACCTTGAGCCAAAAGATTTTTTTCAAGTCGAATACAATCCACTGATCTTCGAATTCCATTGAAGGGCACTGGTTTTTTTACGAAATACCTAAAGGTCGTACCTTGAAATACCGAGCGGTCATCAGAGTTCTGGCTATCGCAACTACTTAAAAGTTTCGAATACCGGGTTTCTCAAAAGTCACGAGAAGATGTCCTTGAGGGTTTCGGTAGACATGAGTTAATCATCAGATAAGAATTTCTATAATAATATAAAGCCTCTTGACCCAACCCCAAGGCTCACGATGTTACAAAAAAATTGAAATTTCATGGACAGTTGACTAATAATTTCCAGGCGAGTGACATTAAGGGTGAAAAAATCGTGAAATTGTAGATTTCTCTCTAATATAAAAATCCAAATCGAGTTCTGATGTTGAAAATTTTCTACTCGAAATTGAGGGTAAGAATAAGGGCTACGAGGATCACATTAAGGGTCGCAAGGGCCTAAATGAAGGTCATGGGAGTTGAAATAAGGGTCATTGGGGCTCTCTCTATATTATAAAAATCCAAATCGACTTCTGGTGATGAAAATTTGCTACTCGAAATTAAGGGTCAGGGGAAGGGCTGCGAGGGTCAGATTAAGGGTCACAAGGGTGAGATTAAGAGTCGCAAGGGCCTAAATGAAGGTCATGGGAGTTGAAATAAGGGTCATTGGGGCTCTCTCTATATTATAAAAATCCAAATCGACTTCTGGTGATGAAAATTTGCTACTCGAAATTAAGGGTCAGGGTAAGGGCTGCGAGGGTCAGATTAAGGGTCACAAGGGTGAGATTAAGAGTCGCAAGGGCCTAAATGAAGGTCATGGGAGTTAAAATAAGGGTCATTGGGACTCGCTCTACATTACAAAAATTAAAATCGACTTCTGCTGTTG